AAACTCCGAATCTAGCACAAGTTGGAAGATGTTGCTAGAAATTAAATATAGCTTTACAGATAAGATAAATTTGAATTACCGTGTCTGTTACCATAATCTTTCTTTTCATTTTTCAGTAGGCTGTTGGAAGACAGTAGTATATGCAATGATACTCATAAGAAAAGACAGCTGTTTAGGTTTGTATGACTTTATTTAATATTCATTTCCCAGTAACTCTCACTCGTGATTCTATCCATGTCCTCGCCAAGGGAGACCTTGACGGGTGTGGGTATGTCGTTCTTCTGGTTGGAAAGGAGCATGGAGAACAGAGTTCTCACCCCGCTCATGCCACGCTCTCTGAATGGGGACGTCACAACGGGACCTTTTCCTTTGGTTTTACGGGTCATTGGCTCAGGAACCATATCGGACTTTCAGCTGCCCAGCTGCTCGGACTGCCACAATTTGGGGGTGACTGTGACTGGTGGAAGTTCATTATGCTCTAGTATATACGACAGGCACGTTTCACAGACTGTTGCCCAGACTGACCTTTTTTCCTTTTGTTGGTTTATTAAAAGCTGAAGTAAAAGTACAATGAGGTGAAACTGATTGAAGTTCCCTTACCTAAAACAGGTAGTTTTGAAACTTTTTCTCTGTGACGTTTGTCTTCCAAACTCCAATTCCTTCTGCCCAGAGAACATTCAGATGTCTCCCGTATCCCAAATTGCGTCCCAAGCCACAGGGAATCAGTAGGAGTCAGTCTGTATTTTCATGGAGAACTTTTTTATCAGTTGACACTGGATCAGTGGAAGACCCAACCTGGTGGTGACAGCATTCCTCTGAGAGGCTTAGAAAGGCTCTCTTCCCGCACCGTGAGCTCCCACAGGTTCAGTTCAAATCAACCAGCGGTGAGCATGCCAAGCTGCTTTTAAAGTCAATCAGCTGCCACAAGTCTTAAGCAGAGCAGGCAGAAGTAATGGATGCTTTCAGAAGCATGTCCTTGATGCAGTAAGGCATGTGGATAGCTAGGCAGAAGTAGGGTGATCACTAGATGTCTGTATGCATTCGGGTTTGCATATGTAGCAGTGATAGTTTGTGTCACTTGAAACCTATATCATCTATATTACATAATTTTTCATTATGAGGAGAAAAGGATGTGGGATTATTTGGCATGCAGTTGCTGACTGTGCATGTCAGCAGAGCAGCCACGGAGGAGATGGTGAGGCTGCACCAGATAAGGAGCAGTGCTGGAGCATCGGGAGCTGCGTCTCATGGCCACAGGCAGCAGGCAGAAAAACTTTCCTTCGTGCTTTGGGCTAGCCTTGATGATCTGAGAGTCTTGGATAGGGCATGCAGGAGTAAGGAGTCATCTTACATACAGAGACTCTTAATAACTAATATCTGTTCGAGTTTGGGGAACAAAAAGGAATTTTGTGTAACCCTAAATTACAGATAATTAGGATACAAAAGCATTCTGTTTCCCTCTTTTCTGTTAGAATGTAAATATAAGAGAATTGTTAATTTCTAAGCACAAGAATGCAAAAGAATTTGTAAATAATATACTTTGGTTTTCTCTTTCCAATTAAATCATAAGGACAATTTCTTTTTAAAATCTTTTTCCTTTTTTTATGTTGTTGCTTCTGTGCTGTTTCTCTTCATGCTTTCCCAGTGTCTGGGTCTAGCAAAGGTCAACAGGTTAATACTGCTGATCACATCTGTGAGAGGCTCTGATCACAGGCAAGGAACGCACCAGCCTGATCCCGTCTTTGACGCGCTGCTCCTTCACGTCCCGAGTGGCACAGCTCGACAGGTTCTCCAAATAAAAAGCAGGAGCCACGTTCTCAAGGAGAAAGGGGACCAAAAAAAAAAACAACCAGTCCCATCCTTTTGATTTGTAGATAGTGCCTTGAGCCTGCAAGGTATTATACTGTACAATAAGACAGAGGGGTGGCAAATGTCTTCTAAAAACCTTCCAAAAGCCAGTGTTATTAGCATCGCTTGGGATAATGGTCATGGTGCACTAAGCTGTAGTAGGCATGCTGGTTTTGTCATTTTAACAGCACACTGAAAGCTGTTCACCATAAATAAGCCAAATTCTCCTCCAAATTCTGCTCACGGTTTACTGTGTTGTCACTCACAATACACTGGGTCCTCTGCAGCTGTCCAAGGACAGGCAGTCTCTACCCAGAGATCTTTGCAATTAGTGTATGCAGAGAGAAAAACCAAACAAACCCTAACTGATGGGTCTCTAAGTGGAGTGTTAGCACTGAAGAGTTTGGGGTCACGCTGGGAGGACACATGTTCAGGGGAAGGCTTTGGGTGATGCTGCAGAGCAGATGAAGAGACAGACAAGTGGGGACAAGGTGCAATAGAAATAATGAGGATGGATATGAAGACAAAGGTAGAAGATGAAGTTAATGAGAAAAACCTTACAGGTGATGGACAGCAAAGGGAGAAGTAGCAAGGGGTTTGCTGAGGGAAGAGACCAGTCAATGGGCAACAGAAATGCTACGTCTGTAGCTGCGTAATATTGCTGCGTCAGCGCTGTTCAGTGAAGTGCTCTTAGGATATATGCGAAAGGGGAGCAGTGGTAAGTGCTGTGCATGTAAAAGGGTATAGCAACGTTTACTTGCTGAAGGCAGATGAATATTGGGGTCAAATGCCCTGTTTCAGGCATGCTTTCGTAAATGCAGAGTGTTTCCTTGTTCTTTATTAGGCTCGCTGCAGGGTACCCAAAGATAGACTCTGCCGTGACATGGTTTTGTTTGTGTATAAATCTTTGTTTCCTGATGTCCATAGGGGTAACAGAGACAGCACGGGGAAGGCATCTGGCAGCCGGCAGAGCAGTACGGAGAACGAATTGAAGTGGACAGACCACCAGAGGCCATGGAGCAGCACAGACTCAGACAGCTCAAACCGAAATTTGAAGCCAGCCATAACAAAGACAGCCAGTTTTGGGGGGATAACCGTCTTGACAAGAGGAGATAGCTCATCAAGTAACAGAAGTACCGGCAAACTGTCTAAAACAGGTAGCTAGTACTGTATTGGGTTCGCAGTACTTCTTGTTGTGCGGTGATAAATGGCTGCACTGGTACTTGTCCCAGTATGGTATATCACAGAATGGTTTGGGTTGGAAGAGACCTGTAGAGATCATCTAGTCCAACCTCCATGGTTGGACTATATGGTGAATTATAGGAACAGTTGTATTTCCTGTGCATAGCAGATGTGTATGTCCAGCTACGTATGCTGGTATCTGGGTACCTGGTATTGAGTTTTTAGGAATCAAGAAGAAAACCTGGTGCCTGAGGTTTGCAAATCGTAGGTGAGATAGGCTTTTCGTGGAGTAGAGTACGTGCACGTCCTATTTGAACACTGCACTTGTTGTAGCCTGAAAAGGTGGTAGTCCTTTCAGACAAAGCACAGATTTTACCTTTTTATTCATCTTTCTCTTCCTGAATCATAAAGGATTAAATGTTGTGTCTCTGACGAGAAATCCAAGAACATTTTGTTGTCGTTGTTAAAATGCAGACCATCTGTATCTTGGAGTACAGCCTCTCCCTCGCTGCTGGCAGATGAGGCAGTGTGCTGTGGTGGAAGCAGTCAGAAGCGCTGGATTCACAGAGGTCCGGCAGTCTCTCCATTTTCTTGTTTAGTTCCCATTAAATGAAAGCATCATTTAAGGGGACTATGAACCTGGTGGGAAATCTACATTTATTTGCATCAGCTTCAGGGGTACATTAACATATAAGTGAGTCACAGGATCTGGATCTAAGTAATTTCAAGCCATGCCATTAAGCTGCTCCATTATATTTTTGTGCAAAAGTGCATAATGTATAATGAGCCCATCGGATGATTCCATCAGTTTGGTTCATATGATAAATATAGTACAGGACAAGTGGTAATCAATACTTAGCACTTAGTGCTTTTTCAGCTTCAGAGTGTTTTACGGACAGTACTTAATTTAAACCCCATTTATCAAACCTGGGTTGGTCAGATATCACTCTTGCTCCCAAAATTGTACAGTAGCCTCTGCTGTGATTCAGGATGCTGGGGAATGGACTTTTCAGAGTAAATCGAGAAAACTTCTGACTTTGTAACTACGTTCTGGACCTCCGGATCTTGAACATAGTTAAAAATTTTGTTACATTTCACAGCTGGAAAGGAACCCGCAGCAGCAGTTGGAAAGCTGCTGTTTCAAACCCTGCTGGTCATAAAGCTGCTGGGAGCTTTTGGAATATCCTGCTTTTTTTTCTTAATGCTTCTGTTTTATGTTTCTTTTGAGACTGTAGGCAAATATTGGTTTTATTATCTTAAGATTCATAGAATCATAGAATATCTCAAGTTGGAAGGGAACCATAAGGATCACTTCCGAAGATAAGATTCTCTTTCAGTTTTACTCCATCCTTATGTATATAAAATTCTATGGAATTAAGACATGAATTTTACTTTGAAAATTAGTACAGTATAGTTGTTTACTTCTGGCTTGTTCCTGAGCATGAGCATATGCAACATAGCAAAACCAGTGTGTGTGTAGTTTTGAAACTATACTCCTGAATTTTTTATTTGTATAAAGGCTGAATAGGTTATACAGTGGGGCCTGAAGTATGCAGTAGACAATGTTTTTGCCTCCAGATTTCTTTGCCTCCTGCAAATCTTTCCGTTGCATCAGAATTCAATTTGATATGTATGAATTAGGGAGGAGGCACAGGTTCCTGGTATACTTTTGTCGTATCATTCACCTTCAGTAGAGTGCAGGTGAATGTGTTTCTTTGCAGCATTGTATTGCAGAGGTGCAGAGCATTTAAAATGGTGTCAGGGAAATCCAGTTGGGAGGGTTGAGAGACATGTAATTGCAGAAGAGTAATACTTTTAAGTAGCCATTTTAGTGTTAAAATCAAGCCTATTAACGGGTGCATTTAAAAATGCATTGAAGGAGGGATCTCTGAAGCATGCCAATACTTGTAAATGCATCTGCACTCCATATGCACCAAACCCAAAATTGCTTTCAAATGAAAGCTCTTATAATACGTTTTTAAAACATCAGTGGTATTCAAATTCCATGTTCTTTGCAGAATTCTTTATAATTTACAATTACATGTTGTAAGTGCTTGGACTTTTTTTAAGCAAAATTTGAAAGCTAGTTGAGCACAGAAAGAGTAAAAAAGAAACAAAATAAAAGGAAGAGGTGGGGAAAAAGAGCAAGGCTGGATGTCAAAACCTTCAAAGCCAGGACAAAAAGTCAAACTGTCAGTCAGCATGAGGAAAGTCAGAGGAAGTAATATCTGAATCGCTATGTCTATTCTTCTCTCTGAAATGTTATTGAATGGCATTAAAGCAGAAAAGAATGACTGTTCAAAAAAATAATGGGAAAATATGCCTTGATAAAAGCGTTCTCCCTTCACCAAAACGTGCTGAGTGCATTCATACAGCTGTCAGAGCCCCCACGTGCTACTTGCATATGTTTTCTAAGGTACCTTAGGTACCGAGCAACGTTGTGCCTGTTCTGCATTAGATCTTCATCATTCTGCAATCCAGTCACAGGCAGCACTGGGCGTTCTGTAGCTCAGTACACATTTAAAGCTTGATCATGTTTTTATTTTGAGGGATTTTGTTTATTTTTGGTTGTCTTTACTACAGTGATTGAAATGGGATTGCAGAGGTGTAGCTACAAACATTAGGCACACTGCCCTGGTAGTGTGGCAGAGCCTGGTAGGCACCAATTCTGTCCTGGTTCTCCTCTGCAGAAAGTACTAGTCTGTTCTCTGAAGTACTTTATGATTCACAGCAATAAATCTAAAACATTTTTGCCTTGCATATAGTATGTATGAAATCAGTCTGAAGTCAATAGTTGGTCAAAATGGTCTTTGTTGGCTAAATGATGGAAAATGTTTGTGACCATTTCAAATGTGAAAATTATTCTACATATATGGCATTCATCCAGAAGCGCTGTCAAACACTTTTCTTGAGCATGGAAATACTAAGACTTCCAGATTTTCACTGATGGCTCGCAGCTGCATTTGAAGTGATGCAATATTAGCACTGTAGCCTGTCTGGGTCATTTTTAATATTGTCACCAAAATTAAATGTTCAGCCCTTAACCTTAACTTCTGATAAATCAGTGATTAATGGTACATAGCAGACAACAGAAACTGAAGCACAGAAAGATGTTAGCCTCCCCTTAGGCAACGGCAGATCATAGAACGTGCTGTTCTCCGCAGTAGAGTCCAGTAATGTCAGTTAGTCTTAAGACTTTAATTGCATTCAGCTGCATGGGAATTAGAGCTTAGCAAAGGAATTATGTTACTTCATTCTTGCAAACTTCACAAAAGGGGCTGTTTGAAACCCATTACATGGTTGTCTTACTGGTACTGATGACTATTTTCATGCACCTGTTGATTGTTTAGAAAGCACTGTTCCACTGAAAAGCACAGATTGTATATTGTAAATAAAAGTTTCTGCTCTGTTATTCTGAAGCTTAGTAGATATATAGAGATGTATTAAGTTATAATTCAGTATTGAGTGGGGAGTTAATAATTTAACAAATTACAATCAGATTGCATTCCTACAACTTTAGGACATCATACAAAACCTTGGTTAGCTTAGATTTCCGGTAATATAGTGGACTTTCCAGGATTGACTAAGTATGTAGAGTGGTAAGTGAAACAGATGTCCCTGTAGGCATCAAAGATGTACCTGTTCAGTCTCTAATACACCCATGAAGAGAAAATCTAGCTCACAGACTCCCATGTTACTTTCAGTGATACATTACAACAGATTTTAATATACAGTATTAGGAGGGAAGACGTGTTTCACAGAAATGTTCTCTGTGTGTGTATCTGCATAGCTATTTAAATAATTGTTGGAAGACTTAAAAGATGTAACTATTGCATCTTTAGCTTCTCTTAATGCATTTTCCATTCAGTGGAATGCACATCTGTTGGAGTGTATTTCTTTCCCCCCCATTTGCGAAAAGCTGGCTGCATTGGGGTGTCAGCTGTGTTGATACAGATCTGTAGGGATCGTTAACTTCCTTGGCAGGGCTCCAAGTAATCGGAGCCACAATCTATTCTCTCCTGTTAGGTGTTCATTGCTACTCCTGTTGGGCAAAGATGATTATACTGCAGGCATTTCAATACATTAACCTCTTCTTTTGTGATAAAGTATTCTATAAATCATAATTTTGTCTCTGAGTTTTGGAACTGAATTTCTGCTTCTTTTTCTTAACTGGGCATTAGCCTGATGAATCTTGTGAGTCCAAGAGAAAATGTAGGAATGTTGATGTATGGGCAATAAATCATGAGCCAACTGCTTCCAATCATACGCTTCCCACCAACTGACTGTGCTGAAACATCAATCTTATTTTTAGAAGTGCAATTTGCAGAGGAATAATTGTGTTCACATGAGCACATACCATTATTATAAAAAAAACCCTAAATGCATTGTAATATACAGAAATGCAAGCTTACTTATAAAAGTAGCAAATAAATATTCCTAAGCCAAGAAACTTTATCGAAGACAAAAAGTACTTCCAGAGGTGATCAGCACTATACAGCTCCAAAAAATTGACCGTCTGGAGCAAGTAGTATGTAGATCTTGAGAGTCCAGTTGATAAGAAAGAAAAAATTTACCTCGGAAGGTGGGATGAACAGAGATGTTCAAAGTCATCAGATACTGAATGTTGACCCAAAGAAAATAGAGCAAGACATGTTGCGTCGCTCACTGGTGCTCAGGATATTGGAGAATTAATGGTACCTCCGTGCTCTCTGCAAACTCCCTAAGCTATTAAGACTTTGTGGTGATTTTTCTGTCTCTTTTTCTTTTACCACTCTTTGAACTGCTGTATCTCTCAGAATATTAATGGAAAGTGATGAGAATATGAAGGTTATTATTATGTCAACTGTGAAGCAGGAAGAAAATTGTAGAAGAATCTAGAAGAAGTAGCCATCATTACATACTGAAAAAAAGAGGTTGGATTGTGTAATGGGGGCAAAAATCTCATTTAGTCAAAGTTCCTTTCAGAAGTCTTTAGCAAGACATCTCTTAATGTGAATCTGAATAAAGTCAGATAGTTCTTTTTTTTTTTTTTTTCATTTGCTACAGTACTGAATTCATTATGTGGTGATACTTCTTATTCCAAATTTAGACACCGTGAAAACAGCTAATCAGAGCTACAAAGACAAGATTAATTGGTGTTAATTTCCAAACATTAGTGTTGGAATTTACTTGGTTTAATATGTCTAGACTTAAAATGATAGGAAGTAAGTTGTAGTGATGGAAAAAAATTAAAATAGATCATTCTTATACAGGATAAATGGGGGGAAATTGGTTAAGTAGTAATTTCTGGGATTTTTTTTTTTTTAAATATTCAGAAAATTGCTGAAATGGTTTTGTGTCTTATTTATGTTCTTTCAAAATCACCAACTTGGTCTACTGACATAGGAGAGCAGATCTCTGATCTTTTAAGGCAGACATTTCAAAGCTATCATCTTGGCCAGTGTGTGGTGATAGCTCCAGAGGTTGTTCCACTGCCTCTGCCTACCATTTGATGATGAGTACATCTGAATTCATTGCAGTCCTTTGGCTTTTGACATTCAGAAGCTGGTAAAGATCAATCCGTGATTCTGCCATAAAAACAGCTGAAAGGGGGAAAAGAAAAAACAATTGAATGTCAGAGCTGCAATCTTCTTTTACGCTAACGGCGTTTCTTCAGAATAGCACAAAATGGGGAGAGAGATGTCTGAACTCAAGCGTGTAAGTAGTACCAAGCCTAGAAATAATACTGGGAGGTTTATGAAATCTTATTATCGCTCCTGCATCTCCAGGTAGCTTTCTAACTTGTTGAGTTCAATAGATGATGGAAAAGAGGAGAAAGTAAAGTAAGAATTCAAAGAAGCAACATGAAGTGCATGTAGAAGGGCCAAAGAAATGCAGGAAAGGACCCGGTAACTGCTGTAGAAAGAAAATGAAACTCGTGTGGTTGCATTTACATTTGGGAGGAGGATACCAAATACTGCTTGCGGCATGATGAGGATGACCTCCAGGAGTATCTCTGCAATTTGTAGAAACACTGAAATCTGAAATGATCTGGTAAATAAAACTATTTCTGCGGGAATAATCTTTCTAAATTTCCAACCTCAGTCTTCAAGGAGCGGAAAAAATATAGCAACTAATACAACTTTGAAGTGTATTTATGGGAAATAAAATTTAAAAATTTCTTCTGAAATCTCCGATTTTCTTGCTTAGATACTGGAGAAGCAGATTTAGGGTCCTGCTGATGGGAAATAGTGCACAGTTCATAAAGAGGACTGTCTTTGTAGTAGCTGTATGGATATGAAGTTTGAAGATGACAGATAAAAATGTGTTTTTTGCAGCAATCTGCAGTAAACCCTCTATCTGTTAAGTAACAGGGTGCTGGTATGATTTGTTCATAGGAAACCTGTTTTGCTCTAATTATGAGGAAAGAAATGAATTCCAATATGGATTTGACTGAAAATTAATCCTAGGCTCTAAGCAGTCTACTGCAGGGTCCTCCTGTAGTATCCTAAATACGAAGGGATGTAATTTGCCCTCTAAGAAAGAAGTTTGTTAAACCTAAGTCCTAGTGTTTTAGTCTACACCTGCAGGAGGGCGCTAAGGAGGTCAGTAATTAATGTAAGATGCATAGACAGTGCACAGAAGTAAAATAAAAGAAGTTGCAATTAAAATATACTTTACTTTTGGAAGGAAGCATCCATACAGACATTTGCTTTCACACCTCCCTTGTATTTGCCTTAACATCCTGCTTTAAGGAAGCTGTTCATCTGAGCCTTACACTCTCAGAGATTCTTGTCATTTTTACATGAAGCAAATTGAAATCTAACTAAATAAAATCTCTGAAGTTTGGAAATTATATTTGGGTTTTAAAATAATGCGTCTCCTCATCCTTCCAGGCACAAATGTGTTTTAGCACATTTGATTTATCTTGATTGATCAATTTTAATAAGCTAGGCGCTGAAAGATCAAAGTGGCAAAGGTCTTAGGTAGCGTCTTAGGTAGCTTTAGGTTAATACGGATATGGCACAGCTACCTTGTTACTCAACTGACAACTCAGTTACTGTTGTTTTTTTTTTTTCTTACAGAAAATGTTTGGTGGTTTTTTGTATTGTTTGGTTTTTTTTTTTTTCCATTTACAAACCCCATGTTTAGTTTTTATACCTTATGAACCAATACTTTGGCACTATAAATACATGCTGAGCATTTTGTGTTCTGTTTGATAAAGCTATTTACTGGCTGAGGGGAAGCAGATGTTGCAGGAGGGAAGTGGTCTTTCAAATTGTAGGAATACCACTGGATACTGAGCTCAGTAGGGAGTGAAAACCCCACTCCTACTAGCTGGGCATGGACTAGTGCTTGCCTTTGCAGTCTGTGAAGGCTGTCCTTGTGTATGCGCCGTGTCTGATGGGGACTGGGGTCCCTTGTAACCCCCCCGCTGCGGTTGTGTCTCTCCGTTAGGCTCAGAGTCTTCCAGCAGCGCTGGCTCCTCAGGATCCCTGTCACGAATACATCAGCCTCTCCAAAGCGCATCTCTTGTCCCCGGGGTGACGGCCGGCTCTTCAAGCAACGTGTCCTACCCTGAGAACGGGATGAGTGGCCAGGTGGCCCCCAGCAACACCAGCTATATCATTCTTCCACTTGAAGCTGCAGGGATACCGCCTGGCAGTATCCTTCTCAACCCTCACACAGGTCAGTACGATGCTCTCCTGCCTGGTATACTGCCCTTCAATGTTTCTGATGCCATCTGGGGAATTGGCAAATTTCATGTTTCTAAAGATACTTTCTTTGAGGCACTTCATGAGAAAGCAAGCAGCAAATGTACGTAGAAATGACATTTGGCAGGGTTTTTTTTCGAATCTGCAGGCAAAGCTGGATTGGCTTTCTGAGGCTGTTGTGGCATAGCCGGTGGGAAGTGATGCAAAACACACTCGTGCGGTCCCAGACAGGATACTCATCTTGTAAAGTCTTGGCACTCCCTGGTTGTGAATCCTCTGAGCGCCCATTAGCTTCAGTAAGGACAGAGTCTCTTCCACATGAGGCGTGCTGAGATATGGTGCCACTGAAATATGATGCTCAAAGTTTTAGAGATTGTGCTTAACAGTAGAAGAATTTCAAAAGGCTTAGAGGCTGCATTTGAATTAGCACTTCAAGAGTTAATTTCCTTATGTGATTAGCAATTGTATTTAAATCTGAAGTTTTGTGATAAGAGAAAGTCATAACCTCTTCAATTCTGCATCGTGGCCGTGGTAGTTAGCAGCACTGCGGCGCTTGAACGAGGCATTGGCAGTCACCCGAGCACTGTGGACGCTTCAGAAACCAGTCAGCTTGAACTTGAGTGCTTGCTGAAAGTTTAAGGCAATTTGTTCCTCGGTTCAGATGAAGTCCAGATAATGTTACACCATTCCTCCCCACAGTATTGTACTGACAGCATTAAAAAGGTTCAGGGAGGTTGAGACTGTGGTGCTTCTTCAGTGATTTGGGCTGTTTCAGTTTCTGTGACTAGCTGTGCTGTCAACCTTAGCTGAGTTATGCTGGGTTTAAAATAACAAAGCCTGCAGTGCAGTGTATTTTCCATTATACTGGGAGCTGAGAGTTGAACTCCAAAATATTTTTTCAAAGTCCTTAATAAAGCATACAAGAGCTTTTTATTTGGGGATTTTTATTTATAACCAGTATTTTACATATATTACACCCCTGTGATCCAATATTTTGGTGCAAACGCGTAAAGCTCATTTGTGAATGCACTGCTAAAAATACTTTTTTAGTCAGAATGCAGTCAAGAAAACCTGAAAGTTGCAGCATTTAAGAAAAACACAGCCTTGACAAACTATTAAACTAAACTTTCCACAGAGATTTAGAAATAGTAGTATCTGGGGCTGATCAATATATATCGGTGTATATAAAATCAGGAAGGAGCTCTTGTTTGTTTAGATTCAAATGTGATAAGTTCTTTCCAGAGAGATGACTTAGAAAAGTACATGTTTGTGCAAGTTACTAAAGCCTTTACTATTTATGTGTACTTTTTTTCCAAGCTGTTACATTATTGACATGAGAGCCTAATACTGTCAGCATAAAGGGGGATTTTAGTCATTTCTTAAAATGACTCGTGAGAAGAGGATAGAATGGGTGGTGGGCATAAGACAAAACCCATCATTATTATAATTTACTCTCTTCTGTTGTTCTGGTAGTTGACAGTTCTGTCTGTAACACTGGAATTTCTTGGTCAATACAGAAGAAGGCATTTTGTGTGCTATGTGGTCCACTCCCGTACAAAAATCCGCAGGCCTAGGCAGAAGTCCGTCCATAATTCAGGTGGTAGGACTGAGAGAAACCAATGAAAGAAATCGCTGCTGCTTCGAGCCCACCGACAGCTGAGAGGTTATGCTCATTCCTGGCCATGCCAAGGACAGAGGCTGCAGCTCACCTCACTTGCAAGCCAGAAGAGCTGTTTGAGAGGAACATCTTCTACATCTGTTTTCTCAATTTAGCAATTTGCAGCAGCTAGCTCATATTTTTCCCTGGTACCTAGGGAGTCTTTGTCTGCCATAGGTATAATGCCTTTCAATACTGTCACTAGACCAGAGTACCTGGTCTTCCCTCCTAAGCTTGCCTCATTGTCTGTAGAGGCATAATCGAGAGCTCCATGTGTGTTAGTATGTTTAATATTCAGGGAGCAAGTGTTTTTGTGTACTTAAAATTTTGCGTTTCTTTCAAACGGCATGTTTTGTTTCTGTAGTTCCCTTGTAAATACATACATAATAAAGAAAATGGAGGGAGCAGATTCTTCTAAAGACTGAAATTCTTGTCTTGGATGTGTAGCTTCACGCTGCTCCCTGTGCTGGAAGTCAGGCTATACTGTAGTGTCTGCTGTGTTCTTAACATGCAGCAAAATACATGCTGCAAATTTGCCACTCTTTGGGCTCAGAATCTGCATCTTATTAGGGTAATGTTACAAAAGAAGCTCCGTGGGGAGGAGACTTAGATTCCTAGATGCTATAATCGGCTATCAAAGTGATGGATGCTGTCAGAAACATAGATGAAGAGAAGGCAGTTTAAAGAAAAGGAAAAAGGAGCTTTGTTTCCTGTAATGAATAGATTTTCTTTCCC